GGCTGCACATCACAGTAAGGTCATTTGCATAGCTGTTTTCTTGTTTTCATCTGCCTCCACTTGGAGGCAGAGGCTTTGTCTGTCAGGCTTGCTCTGTGTTCTGTCTCCTAGTTCCTGCAACAGTAACTATTCTATAACTATTTGTTGAAAGAAAGAACCCTGTAGGAACTCCTATCACCATCCCCATTTTATAGGCTTTTTCAGGAAACTAGACTTAGAGAGTCAAGCACTTTGCCCATGAGACACTGCCTAGAAGTGAAGATGAGATTTAAACCTGAGGTTCCTGATGTCAAGTCCATACTCTTAACCATCACACACAGACTTTGGGTACATGTGCACATAGTTAGGGGAGGGAAAATCAACTGCGACCCAAAGTTCAAGTTTATAAAGTAAGGGTAGAATAGTGACTGCCAACAGAAAAAATGATTTGCAGTTTCTTATAACTGCCGCTTTGGTCCTCTGTTCTTTTCATACTTGCAGTATTTACAGGTTTTTGTATCCACTTCCACAGTGCAAAAGTGAAGAAAAACAGAAAAGTTCCTTAGCATCCATTAGCTCATTTATCCTTTAGAAGATTGATCTCTCCCTTACTTTTCTGATCTAACCCAGTTCTTCTCAAAATGTGTTTTAATAGCTACTTGGGGGCAAAAATTGTTCTATGGCTAAAGGATTTTTAGAAATGCATTGAACAGAATTTAACATGTTTTTCTTTTTCTGCAGAGCATACTTAAGTTTCTAATTTGCTAATTTATAATGTGAATTTCCAAAAGGAAAGTATAGAATGCATCTTCTCCAAAACAATTTTCTATAGAACTCTATTTTCATGAAACACTCCTTGTAATTAATATTCCAAGGAAGACACTGGCATGTTCTTGTCCAATTAATCATTTTGAACATATCTTTAGCAATTGTCAAATTTCCCACTGTTTCTGAAATAGTAATTATTTATTTATTTTTTGCTGGGGATCACACATGTCGAGCAAATGGTCTACCACTGAGTCACATCTCCAGCCCTGAAGAAGACTTTTTAAATAATGAAAACAATATAATAACATTACATAAAATTTTGAAAGAATAGTCACTCATAATCCCAGCTTCCTACTAAAAACTTATTTCTGTTTTTTCACATTTTCTTTCTGGAGGTTAAGATTACAGGTTTTAGAGTCAGAGATAGTTGAATTCAAAGTAAAGTGCCACTTAACTGTTTACTCTATGGACAGATGAATTATTTTCTCATTAAATCACTTAGCAAAGTATGTGGTATACAGTAGTTACTCGATAAAAAGTAGCTTTTAAAAGTATCTGATTTCCTGGGGGTGGTGGCACATGCCTATAATCCCAGTGGCTCAGGAGGCTGAGGCAGGAGGACTGCCAAGTTCAAAACCAGTCTCAGCAACTTAGCGAGACCCTGTCTCAAAATAAAAAATTAAATAGAGCTGGGGATGTTGCTCAATGGTTAAGCACCCTGGGTTTGATCCCTGGTATAAAACAACAACAACAATAACAAAAACCCAGCATCTGATTAAAGGGCCTACATGTTGTTGTTGTTGTTATTATTATTATTGGTACTAGGGATTGGAACCAGAGGCGGCTTAACCACTGAGCCACATCCCCAGTACTTTTTTATATGTTATTTAGAGACAGGGTCTTGATAGGTTTCTTATGGCCTCCCAAATTGCTGGGATTACAGGCATGTGCTATTTTATCCAATTTTGATTGGCTAACTTTCCTCATACTGACTATGCGAATCCTTTGTCCATTAGAGGTTTGAAAACATTTTATCTTCCCCATTCTGTGGTTTGACTTTCAACAGCACTTTTAGTTAAATAGTTTTTTTTTTTATCTTCATGTAGTCGATCTTCATGATCATTTGTGCTTTCTTGTTTTAAGAAATTATTCTCTATTGTCAATCATAAAAAATGTCTTTCTATATTATTTTTGTAAAAATGTTTGCATTTTACACTTAAGTACTTAATCTATCTGAATTAAAGCTACTCTAGAGCTAGTTTCCTTTGGGCTATTGCCGAGCACCTCTTCTTAAAAGTCTATCTGGCCCAAGGGAGCATCCACTCATATGGTGACCATCTAAGGAGGAATAGCTGATTTCCGGACCTCCATTCTGTTGCTTTGCTTTATCTCTGGCCCTTTGCCATTATTGCCTTATTGCTTTAATTACTACAGCTTTATTATAACCCTTAATCTCTGGTAGGGTGGCTTTCCTCCATATACTTTTCCAAATTGTCTTGGCTTTCTCGACTCTTTCATATAAATTTTCAAATCAATCCATTAAAAAAAACCAGTAAGGATTATAATCACAATCACATCATTAGCGTTTGAAATGCCAATTATTGAAAGATTTAATAGTTCTTCTGGAATACTTTTTCTTATATAACTATCTAAGAGCAGGACATGGTGATGCACACCTGTGATTCCAGCAGCTTAGGAGGCTGAGGCAGGAGGATCATGAGTTCAAAGCCAGTCTCAGGAATTTATCAAGGTTCTAAGCAGCTCAGGAAGACCCTGACTCTAAACAAAATATTTTAAAAGGGGACTAGGGGAGTGACTCAGTGGTTAACCACCCCTAGATTCAATCCCCAGTACAAAAACAAAAACAAAACAAACAAACAAACAAACTATTTAAGAAACAACAGCGTTTACCAAAGGAGCGAGGAAAGGGTTTATTTACCACATTCTCCAGCCTCTGGTTCTCCTTTTCTTTCACTGCCATTGCCTTGAACCTACATTTACCTGTCTAAATATTTACCAGATCACCTGCTCCTTCTGCATTCCCCAACCCTCCCTTTCCTTTCCCAACACTTCTGTGACTCAGACTCTTCTATCACACTAATTGAGGACAGTAACCTCTCATTTATATCCCTGCTGCTCAAGGCTCTTCCCCCGCAGTTCATCCTGATTACTGATTAACGGTCCTAAATCACTGTTTCATCCATCCCCTCCCAACACCACAGCCCTCACCAACTGCATCTGCCCACAGAATAAAGTACAACTCCTGGGTCTGATGCTCATCAGGCCCCACCTTACCTGCCTGACCCTCTCAATTGTCTTCTCCTCCTCCACCAGTAACCTTGAATTCTGCCAGATGTAGTTCCCTGCAGTATCTGGGAAGCCTGCCAATTCATTCTGTCCCCATCCCTGCTCCAGGAATGCCCAGTGCCTGCTCTTCACATCTCAGATCCCACCTGTTCCACCTGGATCAAGGCAGCTTGCTCAGCTCCCAGACCAGAATGGTCAACCTGTGTTGATCATCTTTGGTGTTTCTGTTTACAATTTTTTTAGCAAAGCAGTGTAAGAACTATTTGTTATGTTAAGCGAGATTTCTCAACTGAGGCTTTGGCCTAGATAATTCTTTGTTGTGGAGGGCTGTCCTCTGCACTGTTAGGAGGTAGGTGTGACAGCCTCCCTGGCATCTACCTACCGGATGGTATTCTCTGGTGTGGCAGTCAAAACTGTCTCCAGATATTGCCAAATGTCTGCTGGCCTGAGGTCTCACATGAGGAAAATTTGTGTCTCCTGCTGCACTCTTAAAACAGAAGCTTCCTGAAAAATGATTGTAGCTGCCAACTGTTGGCACTAACCACTGAGAACCACCAGGCATCTTTGGACACTTTGGCAGTTGGCAACACTCTGGTTCAGAGCATCTGAAGGAGAGTTGTACATAGCTCAGGGACATGCCCACATCTACCTCCCCAAGCACACTGACAGCAAGCACCCTGTTGCTCAGGAAGTCTATTCTGCACAGTGTCAACATCTGGAAGGAGGCTCAGGAAAGCATTAAGTGTACCACAGCGACATGATTCCTATTCAACATCTTAGAGGTGGTTTATCATGCAGCAAGATAACAAAACAAGATGTGTGTGTGTAAGTCACATTTGTTAGAAAGATGCAGAGCCATTTGATTCTCAGTGTTTTTTGTGTCTAGGGAATGAACCAAGTCATATTCCATGCATTTCATTTTCTTTCTTTCTTTCTTTTTTTTACTCCATGTGCTATTATTATTATTTTTTAAACTCTTTTTTTTTAAAATGTTTAGGTTTTAGGTGTAGATGGACTCAACACAATGCCTTTATTTTTATCTGGTGCTGAGAATTGAACCTGGGTCCTGCCCATGCTAGGTGAGCGATCTACTGCTAAGCCACAATCCCAGCCCACCATGTGCTATTATTTTTGTTTATTTATTTTTATGTGGTGCTGAGGATTGAACCCAGTGCCTCACACACGCTAGGAGAGCACTCTACCACTGAGCTACAGCCCTAGCCCCTGCCTTTCACTTTCAAAAGCAATTGAGCAATACCCATCTAAATGGCCAATACTTTGAGAACTCTCTTTTCTTTCTTTCATAGTGGAAATCGACCCCAGGGGTGCTATCCCATGGAGCTGCATCCTAGCCCTTTTTATTTATTTTTGAGACAGGGTCTCACTAATTTGCCAAGACTGGCTTCAAACTTGTGATCATCCTGCTTCAGCCTCTTGAGTGACTGGGATTACAGGCATGCACCACTGCACCTGGCCTGTGAGAACACTTTTATAGATTCATTTAAGTTGAGGCCATTACTCAAAGTAGCTTCCCCTCTAAGTGCTATATACTCTTTTCTGAGAGGATGTTATGCAGCCTGCCTCTAGGGTACTTGGATCATTTGGGCACCATCTTGAGGCCCTTGAAAGCCCTGGAATCTAGAAAATGCTCCATGTTCCAGTGTCCACAATTTGAATATGCCTTGAGGCTAGGATCTGTGGAGGGCCCACCTCAGGTTTGTCTCCTGGGCTAGGTTGTCATGCCCCACTTTGGGCCTGCTGACTCCTCAGGGAATTGCCCTTCTCCAGGATGTTAGTTACTATGAATACCATGCCAGTCATTCCCCAAAGTTGATCAGGCTGGCCGGCTCAGGACCTCTTCTCTTTTGCTCCCCCATCTGTCCCGACTTCCCTCAGGGATGTGTATCTCCTCTCTTCAGTGCCTCCTGGGGAGGGCCCTGACTCACCTCTCAGGAGCTGGGCTGCAGTGGGGGGGTGGGAGAAGCAGTCTGAAGGGATGCCATAGTTGGTTCTCAGCACCTCCAGAAGATCTTCTGTGTACCTAGAGAGACACCAGCTTATGTTTGGAACCACTGGGTCTAGAGAAGGATGTGTGACCTTCACAAGCAGCATGTAACCCTATTTACCTGATACTTCTCCTGCGCCCCTCCCCACAGGGGGTTTGTTCATTTCCCCCTCAAGGTCCTGTTTCTTGGAGAGGGGAACTGCCAATTAGCTACGTGCAGGTCTGGCTGCAATGCCCAAGGAGCCCACAATTCTTTTAACACCCAAGAGGGCAGCAACCCAAGAAGAAAGAGCAGGGTCCCAGAGAAAGGATGGATTCTTAGCACCAGGATGGGTCCCCTGTTGGTCAGGGCTCGGTGCAAGCTCCCACCTCTGAGATCTTTCTCTGCCCAGGTTGTGGGGGAAAGTCCCTGAAGTGGTCCCACAATTTCTCTGAGGACCCAGAGACAATCAGAGCATTTTAGTTCTTTATGCAGGGAATCAAAGGGCTCTGGGAGGGAGAGAGGGACAGGTCAGAGCAACAGGAAATACTGCTGATTAGCAGCTGGCTCCCCGCCCAGGGTCTGCCAGCTTCACTTACCTAGGGTCAAGTTTTATCTGAGTCCTGTCTGGCTCCATCATCCCTTTTCTCTTCCACTCTTCTGTAGTCACTGAAGGAGTGGAAGGACAGGCAGGGCCCACAGGTTGGGGGCACAGAGAGGGGTGACTCCTGCCTGGCACTGCGGTGCAGGCTTTCTCCAAGAACCAGGGTGGAGGGCAGGTGGAATCGGATCTTGCCTTCTGAGTCTCTCAGCTCCTAGTGCCAACCTCCTATCTAAGTCCACCCTGGAGGAATTTGATCCTCTAACTGGCTGAGTTCCTGGACTCCTCCCTATCCTTAGGTGTGGTCTCTCCTCCCTTCCTCAGACTGATGCCTTTAGCTACCTCTTGCTCACCTCCCAACCCCCATCCTACATCCTCCCCTAAAGAGCTTTTAGAACTGGCTGGTCCCAAGACAAAAGTCCTCCTGCCCAGGCCCAAGTTGGGGACAAAATCCTTACTCGTCCCTGAAAATCTCCTGGTCACCTGAAGATGGGAAACTTAGGGACAGAGCTCACTAAGCCAATAGCTGTGTCAGATGCTGTTGGCCTGGCATGGGAAGAGGAGGACTGTCTGGAAAAGTGTGAAGAAACCATAAAGATTTCTTCAGGCTAGGTCCCTGGCATTGTTGATGATGGGTTTATCCAGCCAAACAGCTGGGCCTGAATATGCAGGCAAGGGTGGGGGGCTGCATTTAAACATAAGAAGTGGGGCTAGGGTTGTGGCTCAGTGGTAGAGCACTCATTTGGAATGTGTGAGGCACTGGGTTCGATCCTCAGCACCATATAAAATAAATAAATAAAATAAAGGTATTGTGTCCAACTACAACTAAAAAAAAACAACAACAACCATCAGAAGTGCAGCCTGGTGTTTCTAGTTCAAGGCCAGACTTGGCAACTTAGTGAGTCTCAAAATAAAAAGGGCTGGGGACATAGCTCAGTGATAGAGTGCCCTGGATTCAAACCGCAGTACAGCAAGTTGCAAATTAAGATTTCTGAGCATTTCTGGCTTTGAAAAATGGCCAGATTATATGTTTATCAACTATTTTACTGATTGATGGTTTCTCTTCTTTCTCCAAATAGATTTAAATCCCTTTGAGACCAAACAATGTTATGCACCCACTAGGTTTCTGGCATGAAGCCTGACACATAATAAGTGCTCCTTGGATTTTAGTTGTATAATGGATACAATAATAACATTAGAACAGCAGCAGCCAATGTCTTCTGAGCATGCATGGCTTGCCCCATGCTGTGGGAAATGTAGCATGCGCCTTATCTAAACCTTACAACCACTCTTATAAAGTAAATGCTATCTCTAGTCCCATTTTACAGATAAGGAAGCTGAGGTCAAGAGAGGGGAAGAAACCAGGTTAGAGAGCCACAGGTGTGGAGACAGAGGTTCAGGGGAAGATTCTAGATCATGAGAAAATGGCCCATAAGGGGGTTAAAGGAGTCCGTTGGGGGAGACAGATGCAACCACAGGAAGTAATTATGGACATGATACCAAGGAGACTTCCTACCCCTGTCCCAAACACCTCAAATTATCTCTTGAGGGTCAAGCAGAGTCTTCTAGTTTTACCCTCCTCCTGAAGTACAATGCTTGGGACAAGATAGGGTAGTGATTCAGGAGTCTCAGGGGCCCTGTCATCTCCTGAGGTGGAGGTAAGAGCAGGAAAAAGAAGACAAGGACACTGTTTGAAGAAGGTTAATGACCTCAGCCCCACCCTAACAAAGAACAAGCTGACTCAGCCTCCTCAAACCATTCCACAAGAATGTTCCCTGGGTCACTGATCTCTTAACTCAGTGAGAGGCCTTGAGTTTAAATGCCTGAACTTTAGATTTCCTTGGAGCAGATAACAGGGTACTGAGGAGTTCCCCCAAACTTCCTCAAGTGTAGAAGGATCTCCTAAGGGAGGGAAGTGGGGTTAGAGAGCAGGAGGAGGCAGGAAGGGACAGTGGCTGACTGAGACTCAGTGCTGGCTGCCGGACCAGAGACACTTCAGGACAGACACTGGATGAGGAAGGCAGAAATGGCAGGGTGTCCGTTAGAGGAGGGCTTCAGCTCTGATGGGTGCTTCTGCCCTTCCCAAAGTCCCCAAGTGGCCATTATCCATACAAAGTGGCCCTCAGATTAGCCCAGGGTCGTGCCTTAACTCAAGGCCCATCCACATCTAAGATTTAGTGAGAGAAGACAAACTGAATGGGCCAATCAGGTTCTTCTCTTGCAGTTTTGACCTGCTAGCTGTCAAACACAGGCTTTCTCTGAAGAAGAGTCAACTAGAAAACAAAGCAAAACAACACAACAACAACAATAACAGAAACCCACCAGGATTTCTTCAGTGTTCTGCAGGGCTCCTCAATTACTTGATCTTTAAAGGCCATTTTCCCTCTTAAAATTTTTCTTATTGAGATATAATTCACTTCAAATAAAATTCACCATTTTAGTTATTTAAAAATGTACATTCCAGGGCTGGGGATGTGGCTCAAGCGGTAACGCGCTCGCCTGGCATGCGTGTGGCCTGGGTTCGATCCTCAGCACCACATACAAACAAAGATGTTGTCCGCCGAAAACTAAAAAATAAAACATTAAAAAATTCTCTCCCTCTCTCTCTCTCTCTTTTAAAAAAAAAAGTACATTCCAATAGTTTTTAGTATATTTCCAATGTTGGGGTTGAGCTCAGTGTATGTGCAGCCCAGTGGCACAGCATTTACTTGCCTAACATGCATGAGGTCCTGGGCACACTGCAATAAATAAATAAATAAATAAATAAATAAATAAATTTGTGCAAGATTGTGCTATTATCAGTATTAATCCAATTGCTGAAGGTTTCCATCACCCTAAAAAGAAATCCCATATCTCCAACCCCCCACCCCCACTTGTCTCCCTGCAGCCACTAATCTGTTTTCTGTCTCTATGGATTTGGCTATTCTGGGCATTTCATATAAATGAAACTATACAGAAATTTTAAAGATCATGGTTATGAGTCAGGATTCTTAATCCAGAGACAATGACCTGTAGGGAATGGAGCCCAAAGGCATTATCAGGAAGAACTGCAATGAGATTGTCAACAACTTCAATGATATGAACCTCTTGGAGACCCTCTACCATGGCATCTACACCTAAGGTTTTGATCCATGGCATCTATATGTAAGGTTTTGAGAAGGCCTCTGCCAGGCAGCACTGAACAATTCTTCCTCATAACAAGGGTACTGATGTGATTGCTCAGACCCAATTTGGAATCAGAAAAATGGCACATTTGCCAAATCATTTCTGTAACAGAGTGAGTTGAATCTGAAGGCCAACCAAGCCTTTGTCCTGACACCTGCTTAAGAGTTGGCTTAGCAGACACAGAAGGCGGTGGTGGCATTAGAAGATCACATGGATGCCCCGTGTCATCCTTGCATTGAGGGTACCAACATGTGTGCTGAGGTGCTGAAGCTGCAGATGGATACTCCCTGCATCCTCGTGGGTACACTTGACCAAATGTTTGACATGCTTAACTGGAGATACTTGTCTCCCAAATACATCAAGATGTTTGTACTGGATGAAATTGAGGAAATGTTAAGCCATGGATTTAAGGACCAGATCTATGACATATTTCAAAAGCTTGACATCACTACCCAGGTGGTTTTCTTGTCAGTCACAATGCCCTATGATTGCTGAAGATAACCAGGAAGTTCAGGAGAAAACTCATTCATGTTCTTGTCAAGAAGGAAGGTTTGGCCCTGGGGATGTATCTGCCAATTCTATGTGGAATGAGAGAGAGGAAGCTGGACACACCATTTGACTAGCATGGAACCCTGACCATCTCCCAGGCAGCCATGGTCATCAACATTAAGAGAGAAATTGCATATGGGGCGTGGTGGCACATACCTGTAATCCCAGCTGCTTGGGAGACTGAGGCAGGAGGATTGCAAGTTCAAAGCCAGCCTCAGCAACTTAGCGAAGCCCTAAGCAACTCTGTGAGATCCTGTCTCAAAATAAAATATAAAAAGGGCTGGGGATGTGTCTCAGTTGTCAAGTGCCTCTGGGTCAATCCCCAGTAACAATCCCCCCCCGCAAAAAAAAGGTAAAACTGAAGCCACAGAGTCCACTGTAGAAGACCTTTTGACTGCAAGGGTGTGGCTATTAACATGGTGACAGAAGACAGCAAGAGGACCCTTCAAGATATCAAGACCTTTCACAACACCTCTACCGAGGAGATGCCACTCAGTATTACTGTCCTCATCTGAGAGGGCTGTTACCTATTCCAGGTGAAGGTTCAATCCTGAAGGGCTAGGAGCAGATGGAGAAGGGGAGGGAGCCAAGGAATGGACACTTTTCATTTTTCCTTTGAATAAATGTCACTTTCTGAAGCTAAAGAAAAAGTGGAACTAATATAATATGGGCCTTTTGTGTCTGGCTACTTTCATTTAACAATGTTGCAAGGCTCATTCAAGTTGTTGTGTACAGCAATCCTTCAGTCCTTCTTATGGCTGAATAATATTCCCTTGGGTGAGTATACCATATGTATTTTGTTTTGTCTATTCATTGACAGACATTTGTTTCCACTTTCTGGCTATTATGTAATGATACAAAGTGGCCCTCAGATTAGCCCAGGATCGTGTCCTGATTCAAGGCCCATCCACACCTAACACTTAGTGAGAGAAGACAAATTGAGTGGGCCAATCAGGTTCTTCTCTTGCAGTTTTGACCTGCTAGCTGCTGCTATAGGATCATGTACAAGTATTTGTGTGAACATATGGAATTGCTAGGTTTATATGGCAACTCTGTTTAACATTTTAAGAAACTAAGTGTCCAACAACAACTAAACCATTTTACATGCCCAGGAATAATGTGATATAGTTCAGTTTTCCCATATCCTTGTCAATACTTGCTGTTTTCCTTCTTAAATTTTACTTTATTATAAACCAGGTGCAGTGGCACACGCTTGTAATCCCAGCAGCTCAGGAGGCTGAGGCAGGAGGATTGCAAATTCAAAGCCAGCCTCAGAAACTGCAAGGCACTAAACAACTCAGTGAGACCCTTTCTCTAAGTAAA